CCTCTCTCTCTCTCATCTCTTCTCAAATCCAAAAGTAGTTTGAGGCCTGAGTCCATACTTTCATGGCTTTATCTCTGCAGTACTCATCCGGGGCTTGCTTAATCGTTTTTGCTGTTCCTCTATGTATAAATGCAGCAAGGATAATAAAGCCACTGTTCATCAGCAAGAGATTAAGGACACAGAGGGCTGCGTTTTTAGAGCTTTGGCACAATTGGTGCAGCTGCAGAAAATAACAGGTATGGCAACTTTCTCCACAGATGCTGTGCTCAGGTGCAAGGTCCAGCATGGGCACTTGTCACTAGTCGTCTTCTGGTCAACTACACATGAGGCTTTTTATCATCAAAGAGAATGCATTGACAATCCATGCAGGCCAGACACCCTGGATAATATGTGTTGAAATAGACCAGGCCTCTTCTCTTTAAGGAGAAACTTCTCCAAGAAAAAGAACAGCGTGCAGGCAGACACACAGACTAAGAAGGGCACTGTGGCTCAGCAGTGAAATGGTAAACAAGCATCCTCCCCAGACTCTCTCTCTCTGTCTGGATGCTGCCAGGATGTTGCATAGACCAGGCCATGGGCTGTCCATGGGGGCTGCATGCAGGAGGGGAGAGCTGTAGGCCTGGTGGGAGGGGAGGGCCATTCACACACACACCCAAGGCTGATGGCCACTGGCTGGAGGGCTGCAGTATGGAAGTAAGTGAAGACAGCATTGAGGCTGGAGGACAGGAGGCGTTCAGAGTTGAGAGATGTTCAGAGTTTGGGGAGTTGGGAGTTCCAGGGCTCAATCTAGAAGCCTTAGGTGTGCAAAGGTTGTTCCTCTGTTCTTTGTATGTGTAGCAGGATGGGCGGAGAGGATGCTCGAGGTGGGAGCTTAGTGTATGTCAAGATTGTGGGGGCAAAGTTGAGAAACTTTCAAGGTTTGGGCAAGGCACTTATACCCCTTTCTACCTCTCCATTTCTCTTCCCTGCCTGCCTCATGCTGACCTGTGACTGTCTCCCCGATGACAAGCAGCCTACTCCTGCTGCACTTACTTGGGTTAGTCAGGGACAGTTGAGTTTGAAACCTTACTTACTCCTGGTTAATCATACAGTTAATCACCTTCCTGAGGAGGATGAAATATCATGGTGTGTTTTAGGAGTAATTTTGTAGAACTATGTTAAGGGCTGTCTCTGAAAAAGGGGAGCCTGTTGCCTGCGTTTCCCACCATAATCTTCTACAGACTCCTCACCATCCTGAGTATTCACTCTGGCTGAGAGAGCAATTATGCTCGTTTTTGCTTTTTTTATTAAACCTGTGAGAATTGTCTCCTCTGCATTGTTGTGGAGACTGGATAAATGAGATAGATAGATGGGGGCAGGTATGAGGAGGTGACAGAAGCTGGCTGCCAAGTTACCTTTGTGATCTATCTCTGCAGAAGCTAGCGTTAATTCCATGGAGACTCAGCAAGACTGATATGCAGCAGTGACAGTTTGGACATCTAAATATGACCTTGGAAGTGCCCAAAACCACAGCTGAAGCTATGCCAACTTTCCATTGTAGTGTATCACAGGGGCCGCATAACCGTGCGGAAGTTGGCGGCATTCAGAGCATCAGTGTTTCTGCACATGAACATCTTTGGCCCTATGAGTGCAGTGCAGTGTGGTGGGACTGCTTCCGTTTCAGTCAATTTCTAATAATGAGCCAGTCTCATGGAAGCCCAGGACAGTCCTCTCGTGTCCATCAAGCGGTGATGCCCCCGTTGTGGGCATCACAAACAATTATTCAAGCAGTTTAGAGGTTGTTGATCAGCATCCCTGCACCATGGCAGGCCGTTCACCTGGTATCTGGTCAAATTTCAGCTGCTGGAGGGAAAAATAACTCGGACTCTGCTTCTGGCTTCGCAGAACATATTGGTTACAAGAAAACTCTCTCGTGTAAAGTAGTGGAAAATAGTTTCAAACAAGAGTCAGTTGCTAGTGCCCACTTGCTCCACTGCTTTCACTTCCTCAGAAACCAGATGTCTAAGTTAATGGTTTTCAAAGTGTGGTCTCTGGACGAGGCAGGGGCCCAGCAATCTGTGTTTTATCAGGGCTTCCTGGTGATTCTGATGTACACTGAATCTAAATATTATAGAGCCTTTTGGGAGGCCCTGTAAGGACATTCGAGAACACTGAATTTGAAAGAAAAAAAAAAACTGGGTCTGAATCTTGTTTCTGCAGCTTAATATCGGTGTGATCTTAGTCAACTTGGATATTTCTAAGCCTCAGTTAACCCCATCTGTAAATAGGCAATAATCGGTGAACCCAACCAAGTTTTTGAGATGATAAAGTAGTGTATAAAATAGGCCTACACAGTGCCAAGCATATGTATATATAATGTGCGTTCAATAAACATTAGCCATGAATATGAATTTCACCAATTTCTCTGCTTGGATCCAAGCAAAATGTAGAACAGGGACCACCCATAAGGTTATTAATACGAATAACATCCCAGGTACATTACTAGCAAATCAAGCTGTGGAGTGTGTTGTTCTTAAGGGATTTCAAACCATTGTGGTTCCATATCCATATCTCAGGTGAAGTAGCCTGAGAGGAAGAGCATCAGGTCTGCCAGGAAGGTGCGACATGAGGTGCTTCCTCTATTGGCTGCACTTCTCTACCTCTCGTTCACCCTCAGAGTATACTCTGGGTATTGTCATCAAAGCCAAAAGGAAGTCTTAGGGTACACTCTAGACCACGTGCATTCTAGTCACTCAGAGATTCTATTAAAGCGCGGATTCCGGTTCATTACAACTGAAGTGTGGCCTGAGATTCTGCATTTCTAACAAGCTCCCAGTTGATGCTGAGCTGCTGGTTTTCTGACCACACTTTCACATAGTGCTTCTCAAACCCTAATGTGCATATGATTCACAGCGAGATTTATGTGACTTAGGGAATGGTCTAGGGGCCATCAGCATTGGTATCACTTGGGGGATTACTAAAAATGTAGAGTCTCAGGCCACGCCCCAGACTTACCAAATCAGAATGTGCATTTCAGTAAGATCCCAAGGAAATTTGTAAGTATGGTAAATTTTGAGATCCTGAATGGGTGTGCTTATTCACACAGGGCCCTGCACTCAGAATGATCCTGCCCTTGGTTGAATGCTCTGCTCTCACCATCTTGAAATTCTTAATAATGCTTGAACAAAGGGCTCTGCATTTGCATTTTTTACCGAGCTCCACAAATTATGTAGCTGATCCTGGATACACTGCTCTACCCCCGTGTTTTTCAAACTTTGGTGTGTATATGACCCAACTGGGATATCATTAGAAATTCATATTTGAGGGTTCCCAAAGATTCTGAATTGGTGACACAGGAGGTGAGACTAAGAATCTGTAACAAACCCCTCATATGATTCTGATGCAGGTGGTCCATGCCCACTGCCAGAAATACTCCCCTGCTCTCCCCCTAGTTAAGTTTTATCATTTCCATCCCACATTGTCCAGAAAACACAATAAGCAGCACAAAACTTGCTGGACACCAGACAAAGGTGTTTCTGGTTGAGCAGTTTTCCCTACAGGACTCTCAGCTAGGCTTCCCACCTGTGCCTGAGTGGCCCTGCAGCGATCGTGTGACATTTACACAAGTACAAGCGGAAAGGATGCACAGTACAGGATATCTCATCTCAAGAGGGACCGCCTGGGGAAGCTGGTGTGCTCAGCAGCAGTTCTTAGACTTTTTATGGTCACAGACCATTTTGAGAATTCAGGAGAAGCAATTGTTCCTCCCCGCTGAGAAGTTCACCTTTGCACATTCTGAGGAGCACACAGGACCAGGAATTAGACGAACTGGCTGAGAGGTCTGACTCCTTCACTTCCTAGCTCTCCAATCTGGGACAAGCCACCAGAGCATTCCAAACCCTGGAGTCTTACTTTAAAGTAGAGTTGAGTAAGATCATCTACCTCACAGACTTGCTGCGAGAATCAAATGAGACAGTGTGGATGTAAAAGTACTTTGTAGACTGCAAAAGAATGTATAAATTTGAGGCTTCGTTATACATACCGTGCTACATTGCTATTTCCAGCATTATAGTTAGGATCAGGACACTGTGTTTGTGAATTTAACCTAAAGCCATAGAACATACTTGGTGTAGCGAGAGAGGGAAGTGAATACAGACAGATATGATGAGGACTTGGCGAGAGGAGCTGGGAAATTTGAAAGTGTAGGAAAAGAGAAGGGAGCTTCACAATTTGGGGACTCCAGATGCAAAAATAAAAGAAAGAACATCTATTTTTACATGTGCAAACAGTTTTGAGGTTTTCGAAAATGGCTTTAGTCTAGCAGTAATTGAACATTTCTGCCCCTGGATATAATGAAGATAAATAGCAATGGCGGTGGTCCATATTTAGTTTCCACTTCAGAAGCCTTCTGTCGGAATTTGCTATTCTGAGATGAGAGGAATAATGTTTAGTAGTTAAAATCTGGGTCTCTGATCTAGCACATATTGTCTGTGTGACTTGGGAGAATTATTTAGTCTTTCTGTTTTTCGCTTCCTTTTTACCAGTAAAACTTTCCTCATATAGCTGTCATAAGTATTGAATGACTTATTACACCCCAAACACTCAGGGAGTAATGTGAGGAATTCTTATCATCCACATCATGGAAGTTCTCGAGCAAAGGGTGGGCTGGTAGTGTTCCAAGGGGCCAGCCATTCTGCCTATGGATGATGCCTCCAGGTTGTAACTATTAAATAATTAGGCCTCAATAATCAATAGTCCTGTGCTCAGGTGGTTTCAGAAGCCCTGGAATTCTCAGGACCCAGAAGTCTGACAGCAAATATTCTGAGGCTGTAATCCCATAAGACCTCTGCCACCAAATTCCAGAAATTACTACCCATGACAAATCAAAGGACATGTGTGTGGGCAGGGAGCAAAGACAAGGCAGGATAACAAGTCATCCTAGCCCTGCCCTGAAGACCTCACTCGGATGGCTCCCATTTTCTCTCCAATCCCTTGATGTATCCATCTGATCTTCCCTCCAGGTGCACGATTGACAACCGGGTCACTCGGGTGGCCTGGCTAAACCGCAGCACCATCCTCTATGCTGGGAATGACAAGTGGTGTCTGGACCCACGTGTGGTCCTTCTGAGCAACACGCAAACCCAGTATAGCATCGAGATCCAGAATGTGGATGTGTATGACGAGGGCCCGTACACCTGCTCTGTGCAGACGGACAACCACCCAAAGACCTCGCGGGTCCACCTCATTGTGCAAGGTAGGCAGGGCGTGGCTGGGTGGTCTGGGTGGGTGGCTGGCAGGGCCTGTATTAAACACTTTTTCTGTGATTCTCAACAGAGATGAGTTCTATTTGTTCCATCTGACCAGGATAACTTCCTAATTGTCATTTTGCCATTAGATGCTGGATTTTCAAATAATTTTCCCATTCAGTAGGACGAGGATTTTTTCTTTTCTTTTTTTGCTTTTGTTCCAATAATATATTTTCTCAGAAAATTATCTTCTAATTATTGCTTTCCTTGACTTTTTCCTCCTCTAAATTGCTTTAGGTTCCATCCAATTCTGAGCTTGCTTTATTTTGAGACCAGCATTTTAGCTCTTCTGGCACTACACATATGCCATACCCTCGCGCAGCCCCAAAGAAAGCACAGCCCAGCGCAGATGCTCTAAACACCTCCTGGGACGCATCCTTCACAGCCCCCTCCATTGTTTCCAGCTCACTTGCATCTTCTCTTATCTCCCAGCCCTGGGTTTCTGATACCACATCTCCCCTTTAATACCTGGGTCTGATTCTCCATATTTTGGTGGCAGCCCAATTGCCCTCCTCTACTTCTGTGCCCACCCCAGCTTCTGAGGCCCGTGTATTTGTTTTGTTTTTGCGTCTCTCTTGGTTCTGCCATCTCTGGGTTTCTGAGGCCCTGAGAATGTGCTCCCCTATTCCCCATGAAGCAGGACTGGCCCTGAGGCATTCAGACAACACTTAACCATAGTGGGCAGATTCCTAATTAGGGAGGAAGAGCTCAGAATCAGATTTGGCAGCTTAGTGGCTATGAGACCTTGATCAAGTTATTAACTGTGCCTCAGGGTCTCCTTCTGTAAAATGGAGTCGATGTTATGAGGATCTGTGGTGAGGATTAAATTTTACAGGTACTAATGTGCCAGACACTTAGAAGAGGGCCTATTTAAGTGTTAGCTATTGTTATTATTTTTAATACTGTTGTTATTTTTTAACTTTTAAACATCTTTTGCAGTGGACCAAATACCTCGTTTTATCGCCTTGGTAGCTTAAGCCCCAAGTGGTGGAGCCTGGCTCCCGTTTAGTGTTTCTTTCCCACTCTGATTCCCAGATCCCATCATCCAGCTAAATGGCAGGTCCAGGGCAATAAAATCCTCTTCCAGAAGCTCCTTCAGCTGCCCCTCCTTGTCAGTGTCCAAGGAAATGGCAGAGTTGTTGGGTGACTGGTCAGAGAAACAAGGGATAGGAAGGTGGCTTAAGAAGGGAGAACACAAATGAGCCTGGAGAATTGGGGAAAGCTAGCTGCAGGAAGGCAGGAGAAAGCACAGCTTGCATCATGGCTGGGAACTGTGCACAGCGAGAGTGGGTGAGCGAGGAGGGTACCAGGACACAGCTACACAGGAGCAACGTGGGCCCTGGCTCTGGTCGGGGATTGTGCCGGTGGGATGCTCGAGCCCCTCGTGGTATGGCAAAGCTTGGTCATGCTAAGTTGTTTTTATTTTTTTTACCTTGTTCTTTCTGTCCAAAAGGAAATTATGATAGCTTTTTCTTTGATTTGTTCTATAAATGGGTATTTTTCAAACTGCTGGGTGCAAATGGCATTTTTTTTTTTTTAAAGATTTTATTTATTCATTTTTTCCCCCCAAAGCCCCAGCAGATAGTTGTATGTCATAGGTTCACATCCTTCTAGTTGCTGTACGTGGGACTCGGCCTCGCGCTGGACGGAGAAGTGGTGCCTCGGGGCGCGCCCGGGATCCAAACCCGGGCCGCCAGCATCAGAGCGCGCGCACTTAACCGCTAAGCCACGGAGCCGGCCCTGCAAATGGCATTTTTTAAAGGAAATGGAATTGCTTGGAAGTATCAAAGTGTATTACAGAAGCAGAGTAGGTATTGTTACATGAGATTTTTGTTTCAGTGTGTGTAAGTTTTTAAGATAAAATACATTTTTGATTGTGGATAATTGGTCAGAAGATGTTTGAGAACCGCCATTCTATAGTGAGGAGGTTTGGTGAATGCTCTAGTGGCATCATCTACAGTCTATACCACAGGTGCTTTAGAAGCCATTCCCTGTGTCCCCTCTTGCTCCATACCACCCCCCTTATTCTTGAGAACAGAATATCCAGCAATGACAAAGAGATATTAGGACCGATGCACTATTACAGACATTTGCTTTAGGAAGCAGGACCTTCATGGAACTAGAAAATGAAAGGAAGAGTGAAAAATGCCGAAGTCTCCTTGAAAATAAGAACCATGTTTATGTCATTCTTTTTTCTTAAGCCCTCCCCCACCACACACACACACTTCTGCCCTAAACACCTGGGAGAGTGTCTTATACAAAGTGAACATTTAATAAATGCTTATTGAAGCAAATGGCTGGAATTGTAGCCCAGAGGTCTTATATAGGCTCAGAGAGAGAAGGCTGAGTGTGTGTGGGGGTGGGGAGATGGGAGGCAGAAAGGGGATGGGGTCTACATCCACCTTCGCTCATGTGCCAGCTAATGGAAAACTCCCCAGCTTGGTGTTTACATGAGTGACTTGGCTAGATGCCCTCTTATCATGACATACCACCTCAAGTATTGGAATCTCATCTTGGGCTAATTTTTGAATGCTGATAGGTGTATTGATCTGGAAACAAGCTGGGTTAAAAAATGCACTGGTCTTGTACACAGACTCAGCCTAAGCTAATCTGCTGTCGATATGCCTGGACTGAGCATTATTGACACTTTAATGAATAGAAGACCAGAGTTTTTCAGAGCAAACCTGTCCTCCCTCTTAAAAGCAATCAGGCAAACTAAAGAGAGCCAGACTCCCCTGTTTCTGTATTGGAAAGAGGATACATCACCATCCAGGATTAAAAAAAAGAGAAATGTATTTACCTTGGGATCATTTATTGTACCGAACATAAATCCTAATTTCCCTAGCAGAAGCTGACTGTCTGGATTTTGTTGAAGTTGCTAGTCAACCCTGAGTAGAATGCTGCCAGAATGAAAGTTAGGCATATTAAGTGTTCAACATGGTATTATGATCATTAAGCACAAACACACACACACACGCAATAGCAGGAGCAGAAAGAACTGAACTGATATTCTGCCCGTGAGTATGTGTATTCGTGTGTATACAGTCAGCTTCATATATAAATAAGCCCACACAGAAGGAAGGTAATGGCATTTCCATTGTATCATGCCGCAGCTTAAGGTCTGGGCTTATGTCTTTTCCCTTACTATCAAATACCCCTTCCACCCCGCTAGGTCTTTGCATTGGATCTTCTCTATGGTTGTGATTCAATGTGTGTAGTTCTTGCGGACAGCTGTGATGTCACCTTTGCATCAGCCTAAGAATCAAACTCTTCGGCCCTCTGTGCATGCACTTATTCATGTCTTCATTCATTCATGCAGTAAGTCATCCCTGAGAAACAACTCTGGTACAGGTACCCTGGCCAAGCACTCAGCACATGAAGATGAGTAAAAGGCTGCCTTGAAGAGTTAGTTCCGTTCGCATGGAGAAAATGGAGTTGTATAATGTTTGCCCAAGTCATCCCCAGGAATTTAGCTTCTGGGAGTATAGCTGCTGTTGGCTGAATCCTTCCTGGGCACTGACTTGGTCCAAACTCCTGGAAACACCTGCAATGTGGGTCCCTTACCCCTCTGTTATCTGATTAGATGTTTTAATAGAATGCAGAAATAACCTTCACAGAAATCAGCCTGGTCCGTTTACGTGGCAGCCAAATTTCCCAGTGCTGCTACATACTGGTCTGTTCTCTAACTCAAGCACGGGGTGAAGAGCTGGAGACTTTCCTTGGTTCATGTTTTCCAGAGCTTTAGCTGTAACTATCATCTTCAGTCCTTCCAACTCTTAGGACAGCCTTTCATTTGTAGCAAGTTCTAGATGTGTGCTTTGTTCTCTAGGATATTTTAAAAATTTGCTAATAACACTTTATATTCCTATAATAAAGGAGAAAGGGAAATGCTTGTGCCTTTTTAAATTTTTTTGGTGAGGAAGATTAGCCCTGAGCTAACATCTATTGCCAATCCTCCTCTTTTTGCTGAGGAAGATTGGCCCTGGGCTAACATCTGTGCCCACCTTCCTCTACTTTATATGTGGGACACCTGCCACAGCTTGTTGATAAGTGGTGTGTAGGTCCATGCCTGGGATCCGAACCTGTGAACCCCAGGCCGATGAAGTGGAGTGCACGAACTTAACCACTATGCCACTGGGCCGGCCCCTGTTTGTTTCTTTTTTTTTAGTGGGTCCATCTCTTCTTTTCTCACTACCTGTTGCTATTGGACTGTATTCTCTCTTTACTTTTTGAGGCAGATAGCTCTAGGGCTACCTAAATTCTCCTAAACATTTCCCATGCTGCTGGGGGTGGGGGTAGTTTCCGAAGGTCCCAGCAGCGCTGTTCAAGTGACTGGAGTGTGGACTGGGGTCTGTCTGTCCTAGGCTGGAGTGGGGAGTCCTTGCAGTGGGAAGTATAGGGGTGGAGGAGCGGCTGTTAAGTAGAGCCATGGAGAGAGCACCCGGCAGAGTAAGGGTGAGTGTCACAGAGAACGCAGCCTGCATGGTCAGGGACGAAAGACTAGCCTGCAGAAAGAAGGTGGTGGTGCTTCTGATTTTCACTGTCCAAGGTTAGCATGGAGGGAGGAGTAGGCTCAGAGCTGCAGACAGAGCCTAGGCAATCATGTGGGGCAAGTCTCTTAGGCAAGCCAGGAACAAGGGACAACCTTGGGGAGGAGAGTTGCCCTGGAGCCAGTGTGGGAGGAAAGTGGAGGGGAAGGCATCAGGGGCTGGAGGCAGGAAGAGGGGGGGGGAAGGGTCAGGAAAGCTGAGTTAAGTAGCTACTCACCACAGTCGCTATTTAAAATTAAAATTTAAATTAGCTAAAACCTACCAACTGGGAGAAAATATTTTCAAATCATATATCCGACAAGGGATTAATTTCCAAAGTATATAAAGTACTCACACAACTCAACAACAAAAAAACAAACAACCCGATCAAAAAATGGGCAGAGGCTGGGCCGGCCCCG